CCAGCCAGCAGGCAGGTCGGAGTTCATGCGTCGAGCGTACCTATAACACGCGACAGGTGGTGAGAAAGAACAATTCTCGGCAAGCGAGAACAACCACCTTATCACTCTGATGACTTAAACGAAGGAGTTTCCGAAACATGTTTGAAATGGCTGGCTGATGATGGCTAATAAGTCCGAAATGGCTCTTCCAGTCTCTCTTGCTTTTATTGAAAATGCAACTTTGCTTACATCACTTGAGCCACATGGTACGACGGGACGAACGGGCTCCGTTAGCAATCGCTGAGCGTTCACTAATGAGTGTCAAAATTCATCTAAATGGACAAGACAGCGAGCCCGTGGCTCAATGTTCAGAACAATGGGTTTTTGATCAAAAATTTGCTGGGTCAAACCTCAGATGATGTACCAATTTAGGTTGGGTATGACCGGCTGATGATGGCTAGTGAGCCAGAATTTGCCATTCCAGTCACCCTTGTCTATGCCGACAATATTCATCCACCGACATGTGATGGTTCCTTGTAAAAGCAAAATAAGAGCGTACATATTTGACTTTTGCGGTCTTTGGCATTCCTCTCCACTGACCCAGCTACTCTGTATAGAATAGGAAATTATTTCAGTAAACCTGTGCGATTTTCCTTTCATCGTACTGTCCGGGAAGTGCACGGTAAGGGAAAACCTACTCACAACCCATTAAGCCCTCGTTCGCCGCTCAGAAGGCCTTTAAAGGTGTGACCTTTGATGACAAATCCAAATACTCTCACTGTCACCCATTAACTCTGACTCCTTTCCGTGCACTTTTCACCAGAACTTTGTGTGTCATTTGCCCTTCTTCCCTAAATTTAACCCCCGCCTGTTTTTATTCCCAATTTCTCAGTGGAACAACATGACCGGCAGTGGAGTGAGCTTGCGTTCCTTCCGCGATCTGCCCATCCTTTTGCAGTGTCTGAATTGTAAAGCAGCCGCCTTTGGCGTTTTTCGTTTCCTCTGGGTCATATTCCGCTCGAAGCGGGTCGACTTTGAGCTCAGCC